ATGAAGTGAAGATACTGGTAATAGGAAGCTAGTGAAGGTTTCATAGATTACACACTTAAGCTTTTTTTCTTTCTCATTGCTAATTGGTTTTTGAGAGATGAAAATGGATGAATCTTTGTTGCTACTTGAAGATGTATCGTGAAATAATCGATGTTTGGGAAGTGTAGACTTTCTTTTAGTGTTACTACATACATGGCTTTGATCTTGACTCAGAATCAAGTAATGTTGGTTGATATCAGGATCTTTTGAGTCTGAAATCGAGGAATATGTCAGGTTACTTGACATTCTGCATATAAAGCTCAAAGCTTTTTGTTATTTCACTGTATGAATAGTCTTTGTTCACAAATGAAATCCACATAAGGTCAAAAGATTATATAACCATAGAGACGTGTAGCTAAGTTTGCTTGAGCAATGTGTTCTTAAGAAAATGTCTATGAGTTGAAGAAGCAAGCAACTACAAGTCTTTTTTCGGTTTTGCTTTCACGAGAACTATCTGTGACATTTTATCTACAATAGTGAGAGAAAGAGAGGGATGAGCACAACCGCGCGTACCCTTGATTGATGATAGATTTTGAAGGCGATACATTTGTTGCTCATAAGCTCTTTTTTTGCTTCCTCGCAGCGCCGAGAGTGCCTCGTTCTTCACCTTTCCATTGCCCTTCTCTGTGTCTCAATAGTCAATTCTGCTCTTGCGCCAGCCGGACCCCAGATTTCCGTTTGAGGAACCACTAAACTCCAATAAAAACATGTTTTCTATGAAAAAATTAAGAGAACCACACTCAGATTTCTTGTCCATTTAAGTATGAACACAGTTCTACACACAAAAACTACTCACCAACGCAGGCTCAGGCTTAGGCAAGTTTTTTCCGCGAAGCAACTAACATCGAGTTCCCATTGTAAATATATTAACAGGAGAATCGCATAACAATGTAAAAGCAACATTCATCACATAACAATGGGAAAAGCAACACTCTTGCACAATCATGAACCGTAATGAAATTGAACGAAGCAAAAGACATAAACATGACCAAATTCTCACTAAAGATCTGGACTTCAGACAGAACGTAATCACTCTCAAGGAATCTTGCACTTTGACCATACATTCCTAGAAGAAGACAAAATAAAAACAAGGGAGCTGGGTTAGGGACTCGTATGTAAATACCATATAGTGTCTTTCCATATCTGTAATTATGTCAAACTTCTATAACTCTAGGGTTTGGTATCTATCTAGGGCTGTATATATATATACTCTAAAAGGGAAGACGAAGAAGAAGAACATACATTCTCTTAAACTTTGTGAAGCTGCTCGGATCGTCGTTGAAATGGGTGCTGCGTTCGACATTAGATTGTTGTCTTTTGAAGCATCTTCTAAAATCAAAGTCATTAAGGAGGTAAGGAGTTTCTGCAGTTATTTGGGTCTTAAGGAAGCTAAGGAACTAGTGGAGAACTCTCCTTGTGTTTTGAAAGTTGGAGTGTCGAAAGAAGAAGCTGAGGAGATGGTAGAGAAGTTGAAGGCAATTGGTGCAAAAGCTTTGAGCTTTATGTGATAAATCCATTAATTAGTATTTGCCCTCTAACTACTTCAAGATGTAATCACAATTGCGAAAATTTTCTTACTTTAGACGTCTTCTATTTTGTGTGTTATTACATGGCGTTGATCTTGACTCGGAAGTCTTATGTAACACTTCTAATTAAAAGCATATTTTTGCTTGGCTTCTTAACCAGTTTTGGTTTATATCAAGATCTTGAGTCTGAAACCTTTAATACCCAAGAAAAATGCAACTACATAAACAAGAAACGTTTTATGCCCTATCCTTGTTCTAATCTTTATCTTGTAATGTTTTTACAAGAACACAAAGAAGATGTCTCTCTACTAGAACTTTGATTAAAGAGAATCTCCTCAAAACAAAATTTGATCATACTAACACTTAGATTCGCTTTTTTCGGATGATCATTCATCATCATTTGAGGTTGAAGCAGCTTTTGCTGCATACTTGACTAAGACACCGGTTAAGAGAGCCTTCTCCTTCACCTTTAACCTGTGAATCGTAATTACGAGAAATCAATCAGTTTAGTGAATTGTAACATTGGCAACTCTTTAAGTGAAGCATAGATTGCTACATTCTTTTTACCTCTTTGAAGATCCTGGAATTTCTATCATTGAGGCCTTTTTCCCTTTCATGATAA